TCCCAAAGCTTCGAGGTGTTCATCGCATTCTTCACCAAAGCAACAATTCGGCCCTCTTCGATCCAAAAGTTAAAGGGACACGCCGCCAAAAGCGTTATGGAGCACCAAATCCACATTCTCAAAGATCAAAGCTGCGGATCGTTTAAAGAGGACATCAAATCCAAAGTTTAGGATCAAATCACCCGCACGGAGACCGAAGCTCTCCAAAAGGCGGAAAAGGCAAACTAAAGATCAAAGTTGCGGATCGTCTAAAGAAGACATCAAATCCAAAGCCGACGATCGAATCGCCCACGCGGAGACCAAAGTCCTCCAAAAGCGGCAAAGCCAAAGCAAATGTCAAAGTCGCGGATCGTCTAAAGAAGACAACAAATCCAAAGTCGATGATCAAATCGCCAACGCGGAGACCAAAGTCCTCCAAAAGCGGCAAAGCCAAAGCAAAGGTCAAAGTCGCGGATCGTCTAAAGAAGACAACAAATCCAAAGACGATGATCAAATCGCCAACGCGGAGACCAAAGTCCTCCAAAATAGGCAAAGCCAACCAAAGCAAAGATCAAAGTCGCAGATTGTCTAAAGAAGACAACAAATCCAAAGACGATGATCAAATCGCCAATACGGAGACCAAAGCCCTCCAAAAGTGGCAAAGCCAAAACAAATATCAAAGTTGCGGATCGTCTAAAAAAGACATCAAATCCAAAGCTGACGATCAAATCGCCCGCACGGAGACCAAAGCTCTCCAAAAGCCGGCAAAGTCAAACCGAAAACCAAACTTCTTCGGATCAAAGAAGCCATCGAAAACTAAGTTGGAAAACAAATCGACCCGGAAGGAGAATCAAAGGACCTATTTAGAGAATAGGACCCGTTTTAAATTCAAATCAAATATAATTTGTACAAATTTTGTTTTTATTAAAAATAACACAATTTTTTGTCCACAGTCCTCAGTCGGATAGGTAGGTCAGAAAGTCCGTGGTCGGATAGGCAGGTCGGAAGGTCCGCGGTCGGAAGGTCTGCAGTCGGATCGGTTGGTTCGCAGTTGTTGGTCCTTCATCGGTTGAGTCGACCAATACGGAGTTTGGACCAAGCGAAGAAGGTCTGTTAATTAGTCGCCTAATTAAGTGAACAGTAGTTCAATCGCTTGGTTGGGGCGACTATTGAATCGTCTGGAGAGATAAGATATTGGTCGCTTGATGAGGCGACCAATAAGTCGTTTGGTCTAGCGACCAGTTAGTCTCTGGAGTGGTCGGTGGGTCAATCGTTGGGTTATGCGTTTGGGTCAGGCGGTCGGCCTGCATTTTGTCTGAAGCATGAAGCATGCTGGGTGTTTTGGAGCATTCGTTCGGGACTAGCCGTCCATTTAAAGAAGTAAGACGCCCATAGGCGGTCGGTCAGGCCAGTTGAGTTCTGGAACTGGTGGAAGCGTTTGGCGAGACGATTAAAGACACGTGTCAATAAAGGAGGATTTGGTGGGCGGTTGCTGTAACCAACCAGGCGATGGTTCTGAAACGTTTTCTTGAAGGAATATTTAAGGATTCGGCTCTGTTCTGAAAAATCATCTTCAATCGAAATCAAATTCAAAAGAATTGCCTTTGGGGATCACTACTTTATTTTCCAGTCTATAGTTTTATTTTCCTATTTTATTTATGTATCCTACAGTGTTTAGAGATTCCTAATCTCAGGCACTAACTATATCAAATTCGAAGATAATTTTCTATTTTCGGATTTTACCTTTTTATTGTTGAAAAATTGCATCAACAGATATATATTGATCAACCATTCGGTCGAATTCAAATGTTTTTTGTTTTGCGTCTCCAACAAACTCGAAAACCCCTACATTAGTTTCAAATGTATTTTTTAATATATCATAGCATTAAAATATTGTAACTAAGTTATTTTATTAAAATAAATGTTACGATCTACAAAATGGTATCCATATCAATATATTTTCTACAAGTAAATCACTACAAAATAACAAATGAAATTGAAAAAAATACATACCTCAACAACACCCAATATCCTCAGTATAACTGATAATGCGGGGATTAATTGACAAATTCAGTCATATTTGCCTACAATATTACCACTTTGTACAACTGCTCAAAATAACAAATATTACGTAATAACAGGTAGCAATTTGTATAACTTCCCATATATACGTGTTTAAGGATATTTAGATAATAAATAATTTAAATTTCAAACACGCAATCCATAAGATATATGACAACAAAGTAATTATATTACTATGTTTAGATATATTACATAAACATTTTAAAATTTTAAATTATTTTTAAAATAATACTCTCTTTTGATTGATACAAATTTTTACTTTTGTTTGTTTCGTAACAATTGTCACATTTCTATATTGGATAAAATTAGTAAATCAAAAACATATTTAACAAATATAAATCAATTTAATTAACTATATAACATATAACATCGTACATTATAAGAACTCATTCAAAACCCTTTTATTTTTATATATCTTCTAAGAAAATAAATAATTTTAATAATTTTATCTACATTTAAAATTTCATATCTTTTATAAAATTAGTTTACGATTAATTATAAATAAAAGTAAAACATATTTTTTTATTTATATGTATTATAAAAATCTTATTTTCTACAAAATAGTATTCGTATTGTGTATATTTTTATTTCGACATAATTTTTAAAATATTTAAATACATATTATAATAATTTTTTAATTATATCTATTAGATTTATTTTAAAATTACTAATATTATTAAATATATCAAAAAATAAAATAAAATAATATCATAATTTACTAGTATTAATCTTAAATACCAAAGAATCAATTTTTTGTTTCGAAACTGAAGGGGAGGGAATATATATATCTGGTGTGTATCTAAAATAATACAAAGTAAATTTTACATAATATTTTAAATAAATAGTGGACTATTAAATATGAAATATATTTTTAAAAACTATTGATGTATAATATACAAAATATTGAATAAAAATATGTTATACTCCCTTCATCCTATAACAAAGTATCTATTTTTTTATTTTAGTCTGTCTCGTAACAAAGTATCTATTTTTATTTTTAGTAATGGTATTATCTACCTAACATTACAAATACCCTTACAACTTATAATATATTACACAATTGTCATTATATTTATATCACACATACTAATAAGATCATTTTAGTTATTTTTATTTTATTTTTACTATATTCCAATATAATACTAATATTTTTAAAATTATGTGTAAAAAACAAATAAATATCTAATTATGGAATGAAAGGAATATATATTCAATAAAGTATTGCGATTGAAGCACCCAATAAGGTACTCGTTTGCTATTGTGTGTTGCAATGATGGTTAGGCACAAGTTTGGACCCAAACGTATGCCTTAACTGCCAACGGCGTCGTATTGCAATCAAACCCCTAGCTACGCCAAACGACGACGGAATAGCAGCCAACGGCGTCATATTATTAACCAAATCCGTAGCCAAGCTAAACGACAACGTATCGTTATTAAAGCCCTAATTTTTTGGCGGGCTGAACAGTCAGAATCAGTAGCATATCCACAAGCCCTAGGGATTGTTTAATTTGGGTTTTAATTTTGCTTTTTTACTCTTTACTTATACTAATATATATATATATATATATATATATTTTAAAAAAGCATAAGAGATAAGGACATTTTTATCTAGTACAATTATTTTTACAAATGCTTATACCCATCAAATATTATTATTTTATAATTTTGTATAAAATATAAATTGATGTTTTTCTCTTAAATAAAGAGTATTATACTCCATCCTCCCTTTAAATATAATGTAATTTGGATTGGACACATAATTTAAGAAATATAATATTATATTGGTAGTTGGTAAAAAGTATAAATAAAAGATTTTTTTGTCCTTGTGGGTATATTAGTGTAAAAAGTAGTGACAAATTGTGTAATAAAAATAAAAAAATAAAAATAGTAAACAAGACTATTGTATTGGGACGGAGATAATATGATTATAGAGGACAAAAAATATTTAATTTTTTAAATTGGATTGGGCCAAACACGATTCGACTTTTGTAGGCCCGGGCCCAACACGGTTTATTACTTGTGCTGAAAATTTTTGAATTTATTTTTAGGCTTAAATGCAATTTTTTTATGGATCGAATTTTTGAACTGTACATATTTTTACTTACTTTGCCTCGAACATCAAAGAGAATGGGCCATCCGAAACCGGCTGCTAGGCATCTTGAACCGCCTGTTGTGTTCGAATAATGTTGAAACCGAAATCAAATCGAGTAATATTCAATTTTGGTTTGATGGCGGTTCCGGTTGAAATGGAACCGGAAGTTTGAAGCCGCTGAACCGGCGGTTCGAACCGATTGGGCTGGGCTTGTCTGGGTTATCAACGAATAAACCGCACCTAGGTTTGGTTTTTCTAATCGAATTTCCAATTAATGTATGTAACTAGCAGTGCCTCTTTCGGGTTCAGATGATCTGAAGGGCTATGGAGATCAGTGTTTGGATTGTATGATACGAGATGTGACTGTGGATTTGTCTGGTCCAGTTAAGGGTAATGATCGTGGAAATCCTGTTTTGATTATCTGATACGTCCACACATTCTTGTCGTTTTTTGATCTACAGTTACCTTTTTTCTTAGTTTCTGATTGACTGCTCTTTTGGTTGTCAATTTGGTTTTCACACATACGTTACGCTTGATTGGACGGGCAATCAAAGATGAAGGAAGAGCGAGGTATCTTCTTTTGAATATAAACAATCTTATTCTGAAACCATGCTTGATTGAAATGTTTGTTATTGTTACTGTTTTGTGTTTTTTTCACATAATCGAGTAGGTTTTTACCCTGTCTCAATCTCTGTTTATTATTACATATGAATCAAGTATCGTAGAGCGTATTAAGTGTTATGAGATTTAATTAAGAATGGAATACGATGGATTGAATTGGAAAATCAGATGGATGAATTTGCCCTAATCTGGCTATATATATCACTGTCTGTTCAATGGTGCTGTCTTAAGATACATGTCCGTGTTTAGAAACAGTAACCTTCAAACCATGTGCCATTGACAAAATTGTCATCATCCTGTACTTCACTGTGTGCCCTGCAACCAACTTAAACTCATAGAATCTACATAGAATGGCAAGGGCCATTTTCATTTGTAGATATGCAGAGTCCTTCCCAAGGCAAATCCTAGGCCCTGCCTGCGTATACGTATATATGGTATTGGATGAATGCCAAGTGTTTGATTAAATGCCTTGTTTAGAATTTTGTTTAAGCATTTATGTAAATCATTCTATATTTACCTGGAATGCAGTGAATTTAAAGGGAGATGAATTTTGGAAGATTCCATCTTTGAGCCATCTCTCGGGATCGAATGAAACGGCATTGGGACCCCAATTATACTCCATTCTTCCCATAGCGTACGGGACATAAGTCACCATGCCACCGGCCTTTACTTTGGTTCCATCTGGTAAGACATCATCCTCTAATATCCCTTTTGGATCCTGCAAATCAGAAACTAAACTAATCCAAATGCTTTCTAAATTGTGCTTTCTGTAAAATGAGAAGTAACCACTAACCTGAGGAACAGCTGGATACAATCTAAGTGTTTCGGTTATCACAGCATGAAGGTAATTCAGTTTCCCCATTGAGTCATAATTCAAAAGCCCTGCGAATTGCATTGCTCTATGCTTAAATGATTCTGGATCATCATCTTGATACTTTTTTAATGAGATATTCTCTTCTTCTGCACGAGCTTGTTCAAAATTCATTAATTCTCTGTGAAGTTTTGCTGCTACTTCTTTGTGAGTCATTATCATGTAGATAGCCCAAGCAAGTGTCGTTGCAGTTGTGTCGCGACCTGCAATAACAAAGTTCAGGACCACATCTCTCAAGCTTTTGTCATTCATGTTGCTCTGTGGGTCTTTGCTTAGCTCGATAAACCTTGTCAGTATGTCGTTCTTGATCTGATAGTTTTTAGAGAAATACAATAGTAGGATAAATTGCAAGGCACTAAATATGATCATATCAAAATAGCCTAAGCAAATCTGAAAACTTACCTTTTCATCTTTGTTAATTCCTGCTGCTTCTTCCATCTCTGCTTTCCTCTTTCTAATGACATTGTATGTGAAATCATCAATGGTTTTAATGCATTGATGAAGCACAGCTTCAGATCCGACATTAAAAAACTTCTTTAGTTTCCACAGAGGATCAATAAATCTTAGTGTCACTATAGTGTTCACTGTGTCGAATGCTTGAGCAAATCGATTATCAGGCAAACTGGGATCCAATGTTCCAATTTCCACCCCAAACCCCACTTTACAGATTGAGTCAAGAGTCATCCTCATCAAAAGTTCCTACAAAATTAGAGAGTTCAATTTTACTTTAGTTTACCAATTAACCTGTACTAGAATCTCATAACTATGTCATATCTAAATCGATTCAAATACCTGCATGTCTATTTCCTTGTTAATGTAAGATGCTTGACACAAGATGTCGAATAGTTTAAGACTATATTCTCTGAAAACCACAGTGCTGAAATCCCTTAAATTCCTCGAAGCAAACTCAAAGCTTGCCGTCTTTCTCTGTTTTCTCCAAAGCTCCCCATCCGCATTGAAAATCCCGTCTCCCAACAAGACTTCCATATACGAATGATACACTTCGCCCTTCCAATATAGAAGTAGATAAAACAACACCCCATATTATTATTGAACACAATCACTTCATACACCAGGCACAAATATTATTTCATTTACCTTTGGATAGTTGTTGAAATTTGTCTTCAAAACATGCTCTACATTACTTGGATCTGCAATGTAGGTGTAAGTAGTGAAGGGCATTGGCACAACGATGGTTCTTGACTTGGACAAATACCCGACGATCCAGTCATGCATTCCATTGTAATTTATCAGCTGCTCGATGGCTGCCCCAAATAGTGGCCAGGTCTTGGGGCCTATTGCATTCCTCTGCTTCAACCTGTGGATGAAAATCCATGAAAGAAGTATGCATAGAATCGCGACGATTAACGCCATGATATTGTTTCCAGGTAAGCTCTTTTGCTGGTGGGTTATTTTTTATTATTTTTCGACAAAAAAGATTGATTTAATTAGAGGATTATAAATGGTAATTAATTTTGTGTGATGTTGAGAAGTAGATGTAGATATATAGTTTGTTTGATGCATTTCAACAATCTTGGCATGTTTGATTAGTTTGAAATATGGATTCATATTCTTGGCGTCTCCAACCTAATGATTTCTAAGTGGGAAAGTTTGATGCTATTGGCTTGTTGGACTTTCATTTATTTGGCATGAAGGTTGCATTAGATGTGCATTTGGTTCATTTTCATGTGAAAGTTGGATATACAAATTATTCAAGTTATACAAAATTATAGATTTAGAAAAAAAATTTATGTGAGAAATACACATGCAGCTGACTTATCTATTATTATTCTTACTCAAATGTGTGACTAAGGTAATCTTTTATATGATTCTTGTTTAAGAATTGGGTGTGTTCTTCTACAAGATTTTTTTTTTTTTTTCGCAAATCTACACTATTCACTAATTTTTTTCATAAAAATATCAAATCAAACACTTATTTTTTTATTTTTTATATTATATTAAAAATAAATTTTACATTCAAGGTATTTCATCAACACCTAAATAAAATATTATTTTTTATATTACTAGAATTTCATACATAACATAAAAAACACTTCAAATTAAAAAATAAACACTATTGTTAGTGGTGGTACGGTATGGTATACAGAAAATGTCATATTGATACCATAGAGAGCCATTTGGTATATGAAAATTTCGGTATATGAATCTTCATATTGATAACGATATTTCGGCATACTTGAATGGATTTTTTAATAGATCGGTATGATATAATCATATATGATTTAAAAGTATTGAAATTGATCATAATTAAAAATAACAATATTTTTTATATGATAGGAATACTATACTATATATTTTTATATTTTTTTCCACACTGTATATAGTACTCTCTCATTTCAAGAAATATAACCATTTTTTTCTTTTTTTTTGGTCGTCAGTTACAAATATATATATATTTTTTATTAATCTTTTATAAAAAACTATCTTTACAAGAATATCAAAATATATATAAATATATATCAATTCTATATATTTTCCTCTGACATCTTAGGTCACTTGCCACACATACGTGATTTGTCTGTCGGGTCTAATTTGCAGGGTATTAGGTTCGGTCGAAGGTTTACTCAATACGCATTTTAAAATAACGACCGCGGTTTTTCACTATCTTTTTTATCTTGTTTTTACACATGCTTATCCACGTTATATATTATTATTTCTTATTTTTGTATAAAATATACATTGATATTTTTCTCTTTAATAGAGAGTATTATAATATTTAAAGTGAAATAGTTGTATTTGATGATATTTTTATATGGAAAGTTGGTTTTCTTCTTTTCTTTTAATGATTCTAAGTAAATTGATAGACTGCATGTTAAGAGACTGGAAAGATATTTAAAGAGAGCTCAATAATGTTAAGTAAATTATTTTAGTGTTTAGATATATTTATTTATTTATTTTTTATGTAAATGTAATTAATTATTTTCAAATTTAGAAACTTGACTTTACACTTCAAAAAAAATATCAATATTGTAACGATTTTTTCATTGTTAAATCCACTTTTTTTCGTTACTAATGATATTAGAAACGGAATTTGAGATAGAATTACGTTAAGTACGTGAACTTTAAGAACAGAATTCCGTTACAAATATACTATTTTTTTTGTAGTGTTAGGATAAACAAAAAAAAAATATTGTAAGGTATTTTAGACAGAGGGAGCATTATGCATGTAATTAATGTTAAGGGTGTATTTGATTTAATATAAATAGTTGATGTAAAAATTTGAATGTAAATTTGTTTTTAAATGTAATATAAAAAATAAAAATTATGAATTTAATTAGTAGTTTTTAGTAATATAATTTGATTTAATGCAATTAATTTTAAATTGTATATATATTATGTTTTTACAATAAAAATTTGATTTTATATAATATATTACTGTATATGTGAATTATACTTCCTCCGTCCGTCTTTAAGGTCCACATTTACCTTTTACATTATTGTAAAAATATTCTTATATTTGTATAAATTTTTGTACAAATGTCTTTTTATTAGTATTACAATATACTAATTGAAGTATTTTTGCAATTTTTTCTTAATTTGTACTACGTTATGATATAATAAGTAATATTCAAATATCAATACACAAAAAGTAAATAAGATCCTTAAAGACAAACGAAGGTATTATATATTTAGTTAATACTCAATCCGTCTCAGAAGAGACAAGTTGGTATAAAATAGTATGTAAAATACTAAAATACCCTTATTTTTTGAATAATTTTAAAAAATAGTCCAAGGTAAGAACGAGGGGTAGTTTGAAAAAAATAAAATAAATTATATATATGTAGCATCAATTTGTTTGTTTAGTGTTTAATGTGAGATTTTGTTTTTTATTTTTTATATAAGATACAATAAATTATGTCAATAATATAAAAATAATATATTTTTCGTCAGCTATAATCATATTAGATTTTCTTTTTGGTTGTTCATTAAATTTATGCACACTCCATTCTTAATGAATTTTCTATAATACTCTCATTTTATTTTTTTTACGTATTCTAATTTTACATTAAAATAACATCTTCATGTCCAAACAAAATAATAGAATTGGTTGGGATGGAGAAGTAATTTTTATTAAATATATTTTATTTTGTGAAAGAATAGACTGCATATATTATATACTCTATATTCAAAAATATTTATGTATGTATTTTCAAAAAATATAAGGGATTATGTGTGACATTGTACATTTGGAATTGAATTATTATTTAAAATATTACATCTACATTTTATTTTATTATTCAGTTGTAATTTAAATTTATTTCAAAAAAATCATACTCTTTCCGTCCCAAACACCCTCCAATATTTCCTTTTTGGTATGTCTCAAACACCATGCAACATTTCCAAAATAGGAAATAATTAATTATACATAATCTCTGCCCCCACACTTTATCCCCTCACATCATCCAAATAAAATAATAAAATATATATTTCTCTCTCCATCACATCACCTGACTATTTAATACTACCCACCTAAAAATCGATGCCAAAAGCAAATGTTGTACATTGTTAGGGACGGAGAGAGAGTACTAAATATTTAAAATAAAATTAATAAACCCACAGACAAACAAACACGTCCTTGTAGGTTCTGCCACAACAGTTATTTATTTATTTTGATGACTCCTAAATTCAAATGTGCACATATAAGATTAGGAACCCGCCCAGCCAGCCCAGCCCAGCCCAGCCCAGCCCAGCCGTTGATTCATTAATATTGTATCGTAATTAAAATAGTACTTATTTATTTAAATCGGCGACAACAATTTTTACATATGTCTTTTAAATTAAATGTTAAATAATTAATGATAGCCAAAATTAATAAATAGGGCATACAAACTAATTAATGCATGGCTAGTGATCTGCATGCATAATAATACTAATAATAATAATATATACATAATACATATATTGTGTAACGCCACTGCTTATCATAAAATTTCAATAATTTAGCTCTATTATTAAACTGCCCACCTAAATTAAATACCCATTTATACTTGCTTCTCGCATTTCATAATTGCTGCTTTATTTTGCTACTACGTATATATAATTAAATGCTTATATATATATATATATATATTTTTATAAATAAATATAACAAAAATGCAGAGAAATATATATATACACTTAATTAATTGAAAATATTTTACCTTGCTAACTACCTAATTATTTATAACTATTTAATTTTTAATATAAAAATTCTAATTTTTTCATAAAGAATATTACATTTGGCAAACTATTTCACTCAAAAATTAAAATAAAACAAAACAAACACCAACAATTATACATTATTACATAATCTTAGCTCCATTTATTTTGAAGTATTTGGATTTAACTTAAGAGTGAATTTTAAATAAATATAATTAACTCAAATTTGAAATTTAAATAGGTTGATTGAGTTTTTATTTGATTTAAAGTATTTATTCAAAAATATTTTGAAGGAAAACCCATTGTTTAGAGCACAAATTTATAAGCAAAAGAAAAATAGTTAATTAATTATTCTTTTGTCATATATAATTCTCTAATTAACAACTTAACAATAAAAACATATCACATATAAAATAATAATTATAAATATTGAGTCGATCATGAAATCATGAGTTTAAACTTTTGACTCTACCGTCACTTTTCTTGTTGGTAAAAATAAAAGAGTAGCGGCAATACCATCATTTCTTTTTTTACTTGTTTTATTGTTTTTGTTTTTTTTTTTCATTTTCTACTATTTACCTTTATGATTTTTATATAAAAAAATATATATTTTTACAAAATATCATATATAAATTACCATTCATTTTTTATAAAAAATAAAAATAAAAATAAAAACCAGCAACTAAATTCTCAATCCATCGAAATCCTCTCTTAACGGATTGATCGCTCCCTCTAATCGATTCATCATCTCTTTTTTCCAACTCATAAAAATGCAATGATCCTTCAATTCGATTTATTCAAATACTTGCATGTTTATATTATATTTCTCAAATGAATATTTTATTTTATTAAAATATAAGGATTAATTTTCTTTTTCTTTTAAATTTTTTCTTCGATTTTAGTTTTTAATATCATTTATTTAATTTGCAATTTCATTGTCAATATCAATTGCGCCATTAAAGTAATTTAACTTCAAATCCATACTCAAGCAAGCAATTTCAAATCCATCGAAAATCACAAACAAACAAGAAAAATAAATTTGTACTATGATTTTTTTTATTATTTTTATTTTTAGTAAAATGATTTTGAATCCAAATCCATCTATATATAACATTAATTCTTTATTTGTTGCGAAAGATTGCACAAATAATACAATATAGGTTGAAAAAGTTGGGATTTAATTCACTACAAAAAAATACTACATTCGTCCCACA